TGGCCTGGCAGCAGCCCCAGTCATCCATCCCCTTGATTGCCTTCTGCCCCCGGATGAAACCCCAGATGTGTCTACCAGGCCACATGCTCCTGCTAAAACAGGTTACAGGGCAAAATGCCCGCACAGCTCCGGCCAGCGTCGTTCTGGCATCGGTTAACCTGGACTAGTCTAAACATCACAGCTCCGAGTCTATCGGAAGCCAGTTGAGCCGATACTACAGCTGAAATCCTATAGAACTGGATTCTGCAGAGTCTGAGGAGTCCATGATCGATGATTAGTGATGTACTACGCTCGTCCTGGATCTTTAAGGACAGCTCCCTGCCTCCCAGTTAAAGTATGCAGCACTAGGAGATGTTGATGAACAGACTGAAGGACAGATTTAAGAGTCCCCCCCTCTCTTCCTTCTCACCCTGTCCCAACTTGGCAACTAGTAGGTAATATGTGTTCTTTATACTTCACATTTATTAATAGGTTCTTGGTTTACTAGACCAATGCTGCTCGTGCACGTCAAAAAGCTTTTATATTATTTATAACTACTTGAATAGGAGATTTTTGTTTGCTTTTAGGAATCTTAGGATTCTATTGGTTTACAAATAGCTTTTTTTTTTTTTTTTTTCCTTCTGTTTTTTTTTTAATGTGTGTGTGCTCACAGGACCCACCCCATCCAACCTCAACGTCCTTGTTTTTCCTTGGCGTAACCCCGGCTTCTCCATCTACGGGGGCAGTTGTTGGCCCTACCTTGGATATACCCAACAGCAGTTGCAGACGCCAGCACTAGGCCAGGACACCCCTCCCAGCCCCAGTTGAAGCACTATCGAACGAGCCTTGTCGTACGGGCACTTCGGTCGCCAAGTCTGATCATCTTATACACTTTTCTATGCCCACCCGCTATGGTTGGTCAGGCAGTGAATACTCCACAGGGCTACACCGTTATAAGGGACGCTGGGCTGGTTCCCAGCACGTGCTGCTCCCCACAAATAGATTGGAGCTTAAAAAAAAAAAAAAAAAAAAAAAAAAAAAGGCACTGTCTACTGGTCCTACCCTGACCAAGGACAGCCCCTGACCCAACCTGGGTGATTCCTAGCATAGCCGGCTCGTATCATGTCATGTCCGGGGGCAGGGTTGCCGTTCCCGTAACCCGCACCAGTTCGGCGCAGGGCCGATTCCTGCCAGGGAAAACCTCCGGCCCACCCCCCTTGCAGCCCAGTTATTAACAAGTGAGGTGCGTTGCGTAAAGTCTCTGAGGATCCCAAACAGCTCGGCGGTCGTTGGCTAGGGTGAGTCGCCGTACTTTTTTGTTGTTTCCTGCTGATCGAACATTGCTTAAAAATTTTCACTGGTTCGGAGCAAGCACTTTGTGGTTATGTTATTTCATGAGGACTGTCCCATACTGAGCACTTTGTGGTTATGTTATTTCATGAGGACGGTCCCATACAGAGCACTTTGTGGTTATGTTATTTCATGAGGACAGTCCCATACTTAGTATCATATCGAGGAGATGGGGTTATGGTTATCAATCCCGTAACACAAGCCAGTTTGTCGTAGGGCTGATTCCTGCCATGGAAAACCTCCAGCCCATCCCCCCCTGCTCCCCAGTTAGTTCTTACATTATGTTATCATGAGGGTATCTTTCTACCCTCCACTAACATCATATCGGAGGGGCAGAGTTATTGAGCCCGTAACCCACACCTTTTTTTTTTTTCTTTTTTTTTTTTTACGGAATGCCCCTTTTTTTTCTTTTTCTTTTTTTCACCTGCTGGAAACCGGGTCCAACGTCCCTTGAATACATCTTTACAAATCTTTCCATTTGAAAAGGACACCACTGTGCTGGAAAACGGGTCCAGAGTCCCATATTGAAACTTTAACCCCCTTCCTAGCCTGTGGCCTGGGCGGGTAAAGGGTGGAAGGCCACGGGGGGGCACCAGTGGAGTTCCCCACAGGGCCGATTCCTGCCAGTCTTCGGCCCACCCCCTCCTGTATAGCACTATGCTAACATGGAAGTGTCCTAGCAGAGGTGGCGCCCAAGAATCCCTCCAACCGAGCCTTGAACCCACCTCTCCCAACATACTAAGCTATCGTGCTTGCTGTCCTGGGAGCTACCACAGCTATGCTTGGCTGCGGAATGTACTGAAGAGATTCTTTCGAATAATGATTTTTATTTTATTTTTTATTTTTTTATTATTATTTTTTATTTGTTTCTTCTTAGAGAAAACTCAGCTCACTGTCCTCTGCATATATGTTTACCAGATCCAGCGAAAAGGATTGCCCTAATTGCGGACTCTCCTCATTGGGCCCAACTCGGGACAGCCCCCTCCCCCTCCCTTGTTCCCACGAAGGCATGCAGTTGCCTCCCAAAGTATGCCTCTGCCAATCCTTCACCCTAATCTGCCCCCGCTGGGATAGGATGCCACCATTTACATGTACCTCATCCCCAGAATAGAGCAACCCCCTAAATGTGCCCACACCCCCTCCAGGGCATTCACTTCCTACCTTGTGAAACCCCTGCAGACAGTGCAGAGTAGAGCTCTCCCCCTCAGCACCGACCCTCCATCCGCCAGAAATAAATTATCGACGTGTCAAGCTCTGACGTGGCAGCATGCCAGGCCACGCTCCCGCCCTCACATTGGCGCAAGCCCGCACTCGCACTCTGACCGCTGGGACGCGCTCGGCCAGCGCTCGCCCCCTCCATCTCATCGCAGGGTCTAGCGCACTAGGCGGAGAGGAAGCGACCTCTGCACTACTACGTTGCCCAAGTAGCAACCCTGCGCTTGATACTGTGTACTCAGGGCGACTGGGCACCCCTGTGGGCATAAGAAAAATCCGTCTGTGAGTGTCATATGTTCAATTTCTTGCACTCAAGTGTGCTTTCATCTCTGAGTCAATCAATTGTGCAAATTATACCGAATGCAAACACTTCACATTTCTCGCAAACATGACAGTTTGTAAGTGTTGGAAATGAATTGCGAAAAGGGGTACATTCTGAGTGGACCTCATCGAAGAGGATTTTTTTTATTTTTTTTATTATTTTTTTAAATAAGCTCCATCTATTGGTGGGGAGCTACATTATGTCATCCCATTACGGCAATGTTTGGACCTAGAAAGGTTCATGATTGAACATATCACGAACGTCCGTCTTCCTTTGTGCCTGTACTGACATGGCGACTGGGTGGCCCTTGCAGCTTCACATGGGCCCGGATGGTCCGTTTGTCACCATCTCTCAGTGATGTTAGATGATGTGTTATTTTGTTGAGTTGTTTGAACCTCTCCTTCCCATTGACAGGCTCGCCAATGGTGGTTTTCGCGACCTCTTGGATTGTACTTGCAATTTTTTGTTTTAGGGGGGGGCGGAGAGGAG